TTAAATGTGGCTAATGTTTTAGCACATCTTATCTCTTCTGGAAGCTGATTCCAACTAGATAGGTGTGTGTGTGTGTGTGTGTGTGTGTATACTGTATGCATTAATACATTTGTTGGTGGTTGAAAAAGCACCCTCTGGTGGCTGTATAAGTCTCATAAATTAGTGATAACATGAGTTAAGACTTACATTCAGTACAGTGAACAGACAAAGATCCTCCCCCCTCAAATGGACAAACATTGCACAGGCTCCTTTTTTAAATGTGGCTGTAAACGGAACATGCATGTGTGTTTATTATAGTAACACTTAGCACACTGAGAGGATATAGATTAAAAGCATGTGTTTGAGAGACAAGACACAGGATATCACTGCTTGTGTTACATTACATTGATCTGAGGTTAGTCTTTAGACTGTTTATTATAAGAACATGCTCTGTTCTTTTCTCTCTCTCTGTGTGTGTGTGTGTGTGTGGTACTAAGATGGATGAGGGACTTCTGAGTTCTAGACTTAAAAGGAGTAATTGAATTTATAGATTTTCAATTGCTTCAACCAAATAGAGAACCTGACTTCCTGTACGTGAGTGTGTGTGTGTGTGTGTGTGTGTTTGCTCACTTACTGCGGTATACCAGAGAGTGCTGAAAGAGGCTCGTCCCCTACCAGACTCTTTGCTGCACCAGCAGAGGACACCTCTCTCTGTGAGTGTGTGTGTGTGTGTGATGAGAAAGAAATGCAGCATTGGTGGGAACTGGTCCAGAAAGCAGTAAAAAACCTTGCCACATTAAGTGCAGCACAGTGCTGCAGAGCAGCCTCAAAACGGAATTTAGAACTCCAAACTGCAGCCCTCATCCCACAAACACACACACTCCTGCACTGTCCCAGTGTCTTAAACTCTGATGATATCAGTATGGATATTTTTGATGCCACATTTGTTGATACTGTATATGGATACTTAATGTGGCATATGGCGTGACACACAATACTTTGTCAAAAACTTAATCAGCATTTTGATATTTTTTTTTTTTAAATAATTGTTGTTTTATGAGCTCATTTTATTTGAGAATATATGAAATATTTTGGAATTTATTTGTCATAGTTTGAAATGACTTGCACATTTGCAGCATGCATATTTGAAATGAATGCAAAAGCGGTGTTGAAAATTGGTTAAAACTATATATATATATATATATATACAGTGGGTACGGAAAGTATTCAGACCCCCTTAAATTTTTCACTCTTTGTTATATTGCAGCCATTTGCTAAAATCATTTAAGTTAATTTTTTTTCCTCATCAATGTACACACAGCACTCCATATTGACAGAAAAACACAGAATTGTTGACATTTTTGCAGATTTATTAAAAAAGAAAAACTGAAATATCACATGGTCCTAAGTATTCAGACCCTTTGCTCAGTATTTAGTAGAAGCACCCTTTTGATCTAATACAGCCATGAGTCTTTTTGGGAAAGATGCAACAAGTTTTTCACACCTGGATTTGGGGATCCTCTGCCATTCCTCCTTGCAGATCCTCTCCAGTTCTGTCAGGTTAGATGGTAAACGTTGGTGGACACCCATTTTTAGGTCTCTCCAGAGATGCACAATTGGGTTTAAGTCAGGGCTCTGGCTGGGCCATTCAAGAACAGTCACAGAGTTGTTCTGAAGCCACTCCTTCGTTATTTTAGCTGTGTGCGTAGGGCCATTGTCTTGTTGGAAGGTAAACCTTCAGCCCAGTCTGAGGTCCTGAGCACTCTGGAGAAGGTTTTCGTCCAGGATATCCCTGTACTTGGCCGCATTCATCTTTCCCTCGATTGCAACCAGTCGTCCTGTCCCTGCAGCTGAAAAACACCCCCACAGCATGATGCTGCCACCACCATGCTTCACTGTTGGGACTGTATTGGACAGGTGATGAGCAATGCCTGGTTTTCTCCACACATACCGCTTAGAATTAAGGCCAAAAAGTTCTATCTTGGTCTCATCAGACCAGAGAATCTTATTCAGGTGTTTTTTAGCAAACTCCATGCAGGCTTTCATGTGTCTTGCACTGAGGAGAGGCTTCCGTCAGGCCACTCTGCCATAAAGCCCCGACTGGTGGAGGGCTGCAGTGATGGTTGACTTTCTACAACTTTCTCCCATCTCCCGACTGCATCTCTGGAGCTCAGCCACAGTGATCTTTGGGTTCTTCTTTACCTCTCTCACCAAGGCTCTTCCCCCCCGATAGCTCAGTTTGGCCGGACGGCCAGCTCTAGGAAGGGTTCTGGTCATCCCAAACGTCTTCCATTTAAGGAATGGAGGCCACTGTGCTCTTGGGAACCTTAAGTGCAGCAGAAATTTTTTGTAACCTTGGCCAGATCTGTGCCTTGCCACAATTCTGTCTCTGAGCTCTTCAGGCAGTTCCTTTGACCTCATGATTCTCATTTGCTCTGACATGCACTGTGAGCTGTAAGGTCTTATATAGACAGGTGTGTGGCTTTCCTAATCAAGTCCAATCAGTATAATCAAACACAGCTGAACTCAAATGAAGGTGTAGAACCATCTCAAGGATGATCAGAAGAAATGGACAGCACCTGAGTTAAATATATGAGTGTCACAGCAAAGGGTCTGAATACTTAGGACCATGTGATATTTCAATTTTTCTTTTTTAATAAATCTGCAAAAACGTCAACAGCAAAAATGTCAACAATTCTGTGTTTTTCTGTCAATATGGGGTGCTGTGTGTACATTAATGAGGAAAAAACATTAACTTAAATGATTTTAGCAAATGGCTGCAATATAACAAAGAGTGAAAAATTTAAGGGGGTCTGTATACATTCTGTACCCACTCTTTGTATATATATATATATATATATATATGTATGTATATAACCTTCCATAACAATATTATAAATTTAAACTTCAAATCTTCATATTGAAGTGCAAGAGAGTGTCTTTAACTTCAACTCTTAATTTTGCATTTCTGTTTTCAAGCTTCCACAAAACATTGAAAAAATGTGAAACACTTTAGTTTAGGTGCCAATTCTCACTTTTAACTAGTTGTTTATTAGCTTGCATATTGGTTATTTGTTAGTAATTATAAAGCACATCTTAATGTCTTATTCTGCAGGACCATATTTTAGATCCCTTAATCCTACCCCATGCCTACTTAACAACTACCTCACTATCAATAAGAAATTGGTCCTCAAACTAAAGTGTGACCCAAAATAATTTCATTAAAAAAAAGTGGTAACACTTTGTCCATTACACGTTACATGTACTTAATATAGTAATAACAGTAAATTATGGATAATTACATGCAACTATTCCCCCCTCCCCCCCAAATAAACTCTAACCCTGGAGTAAGTACATGCTGTTTGTTAATATTATTCAGTACTTGTATAATTGTAATTATTACACTGAAATAACATTGTAACAAGGACAACTAAAAACAGTACATGGATACATTATGCTTCCCCCCCCCCCCAAAAGACACTGCTAACCCTAACAGGATAGGCCACCAAAAACATAGCAACATTAGCAAGTATTTCAAAGACTTGAACGACATGAAAGTGAGTAAATTATGACAGATTTTTTGTGAACCATCCCTTTAAGAAAGATTGAGTGATGACCAGTGTTGTAACGTGAGTTACGTAATCAGATTACTTTTTTTCAAGTAACTAGTAAAGTAATGCATTACTTTTTAATTTTCAAGACAATATCTGAGTTACTTTTTCAAATAAGTTACGCAAGTTACTTTTTTTTTTAAATTTATTGATTGACACCTCTCCTGTCACTGTGCTAAAGTGTGTTGAAATTTCTTCTTCTGCATTCTACTGTACGGACGTAAATTTACTTTCCCTTCAGCCTGAGGCTTTTATATTTGCCAAAAATATAACTTTTTTTATTTTTAAAAACAAACAAGCAAGCCCTGTCCAGATTTTAAAAAGTAACGCAGAAGTAACGTAATGCATTACTTTCCATAAAAAGTAACTAAGTAACGTAATTAGTTACTTTTTTATGGAGTAACGCAATATTGTAATGTATTACTTTTAAAAGTAACTTTCCCCAACACTGTTGATGACATCTAAATGTTTTACAGCACTTGTGTCAGCCAGTGCCTGATTTTTGTTGGAACGACAGAAACATTATTGCAGAACTTGAGGATGGAGTTCACAGTGTAATGCTGCAACATCGTACTACTCATGTCCATATGAGGATATTGCAGTAAGAATCCATGTGTGGGTTGCAGTCCTTAATGGAGGGGCTTAAACAAGGGCCTGTTTTGAGAAAAGAGGATGTGGTTTAAGCAGAGCAGTATCTAGAGCTAGATATGATAGGGCAATAAGAAAAGCAGGAGACACAAGCCCAAAATTTCCAAGCAGTGTCTACTGCATCATACCAGCTACAGTAATTCCTTAAATTAAGTAAAGGATTTAAGGAAATAAAAAAGAAAGAACAATTTATATTCATCATGGTTTCCAATGATTCACCAGTAAATATAAATGCAGAATACAGAAAGTCTCTGGGTTTCAGATGACAATTGCCCTGATCCAGGAAAACCTGACACGGCTGGTGCAGCCTATTAACAATACGAGAGGGGGTGGGGTTGAGAAATGCAGAGTCATAGGAAACTCAATTTTGCCAATCTATCATAGATGTGTGAGAGGTGGACATAGACACATATTCAAAGTCACAGTCACGTTGCAGGCGAACACACATGTACAGTCTACTCTCATTTATGTATCTTTCTCAATGTGGGACAGTGATGCATGTCACTCTTGTCACTCTCATCACCCTGTCACTGTTAATTGATGTGTATCCCAGCAGTTGTGGAGCTGGCAGACCCCTCGTGTTTCTTTCTGGAGCTGTCCTTCCTGTTGTCTCTCTAAAAACTGCAATGCAGAAGAGACTCCGGACCCCAAATAACACAGCCTAACAACCTGAACCCACATTTACAGCTCAGAGAGAGGGAGGAGGAGGGAGGAAAGGAGCAGAGATAGAAGGGGCGAGAGGAAGGAAGGGAGGGACAGGCAGTCAGCCAAGGAGGGGAAAAGTTGAGCATGAGCCAGATTTGAGCAGATTTTTCAAAGAGAGAGAGGAGGGGGGGCTGCTGTTGAACAGACTAGCTGCAGTTGTCCTCAGACCTCTAGTGCTTCAATGCTCTTCACTTCTGTTTTACCGGCTGGATTGCGCGTGTCCCTTAAAAGGTGTGTCGGTGAGAGTGTGTGTATGTGTGTGTGTGTGTCAGAGGGTGTTCGTGTGCGTGTCTGAGCAGAATTGGGACCAAAGCACTGCGGATTTGTGTGCAGCATATTCTGTGGACCGATGCCCTCTGCTTCTCCAAACAGGACACACTGATTTACCTGCTTAACAAAGGTACGGCACAGACACACACACACACTGACTCAACCAGACACAAAAACATGCAAATTGAGTCATTTGTAAACATTTTGGTTGGTTTTTCATAGTCAGAAATGTATGTATATATTATAATGCTGAAGAATGGACTTCATGCACAAATACAAAAGTTCAGTGTGTTCATCTTTACAGTAACCGCATTCAGAACCAAGATATGTGAGATCTTTTGTGCTTCTTTGTACTTGTAATATGTTATATATGTGTATATTTATATTTTATTAATATAATTAATACAATTATAATGTAATATTATTACATTATATTTAAAGATATTTTATTAATATATTTTAACAAATGTAATAATAATAATGTTTATTAGTAGTAGTAGTAGTGTCAGTTTAGATCAAATTGGACCAAGTTAATAAATATACATAAAAAATGTTTTTTAATAAAACTAGTTACTAGTAGTTATTAATATTATTATATAGTATACATAAATATATTTTATTAGTATATTTTATTATATATGCATATATATAATTTTTTATTATATATCAATGTATAATTAGCTTTGTTGAGAGATTAAGAAATATTCATATACATTTTTTTTATTAATATTGTTTATAAATACATGGTTTGTATATTTACTAGTTTGCATGCATGCTGTAGAGACTTACATCCAAACCAGCTTACAGTAAATTGCTTTGAAACTTGCTGACTTAAGTATATTCTGTCAGCTGATCTCTCTTGTTGATATTACAGCAGATAGGGTTATAGTTAATGTGGGATCACTTTTTTATAAGAGAAATTGTGGAGTGTTTTATGTCTCTATGTACTTTGTAAGTCTTGCTGCCCTCTGTTGGAGAATTTTTCTGATCAAAATAAATTGCTCTGAAGAGGTTTTGAAGCCAGATAGACTTTATTAACAAGATAAGGCCAAGTTATGGTTTGCAAACGATAACTCCAGAATCTCGTTATTCACATATATTAACTGAAGCTGTTCAAAAGATTTGTATTTTTAGACAAGGTATCTTTTACCATATATGAACTTCTGAAGGGTGATCAATAACATCAGGTATTTCTAGCTCCTATTTTCAGTGTCAAGTCCTTTGCCATATATGAGTGTTTTTCAAGTTTTAAATAGTTCACTGTTCTAAGTACACCGCAGTCCTTAGCACACAGTCGTGTAAACAGCACACAGATAGATAATAGATAATGGTAGAATAATTTTCTCTTATGATTGGGCATAATTCTATGCATTATATTGAATCAAGGTCAATGAGTATATTCCACACCTCCTGTTCAAAACTTCCCTTTTTCACAGGTTAGAGGGTAACCGAACAACCAAAAAAACAAAGCCAGATGGAATTCTAGCAACTTCATTTTCCCAGCTGGGCAGATCTTTGTGCTTCCAGGTCTCCTGAGAACTGGACAGGCCTTTAACAGGAGGAATCTTATATTTGATGTTAGGAACGGCAAGCTCCAATTGATCTAGTGCGCAATTGCTGAGAAGTGTAAAGGAGCCTTTGCCACCCAGGCAGCATCTTGAGGAACAAAGAATTCTGGGAAACTGACAAAAGTGGACGTGAACTGCTGAGGAAGGCAGGTGCACGTGACAAAAAGAAGGGAGAAGAAAGTGAAGTGCAGGATGGAGACACAGAGCAGAGGTCGTCTGAGAGGAGTGCCCTCAGAAAGAACTGTGTTCTCTCTTCTGCTCACACTCATCATTGGTAAGACTTGCCTCTACCTCCTCACAATGAAAACATACTGTTGTCAACTATTGTGTTTAGTTATGATTTTTAATGTAAAAAAATAAAAATAAACTTTAAAAACTGTTTTTAAATACAACAGACCAGATGAATTCCTATTCTTGTCAGAGAGTTGTTTACGGCAAGTACCAAGTCTATACTGTACTAATATTTCATACTGAAAATTCATATTGAATCAGTGAGTCTATGCAGTTCTCTGATGTCCTAAAAACAGACACACACGCAGCTCCTAATGTTGCATTGCAGAGCTGCTGTAGCATAAAGTGTTTAAGTCAGCATTAGTTTAGTGGCTCAAATTTCTGAGACATATTTGCCTCTGACAACGAAACTACGCTCCGGAAACTGTGTTCAGACTTATAATTTGCTCTCCTTCATGTCATATCAAGTCTGACTCAAGACTTTCTTTCTGATTGTTAAAATGTTCACAAGTGTTTTATCATTTAAGTTGGGCCTTGCATATCACACTGCATTTGTACTTGAATATGGGATGACATGGTTCTGAGGAGCTTGCTTTTAGTTTGCAAGTTCAAATTTAGTTTGTCAGTTATGGTAGCATATTTTGGTTGTGAATAATGACAGAGATTTATGTGTGCGAGAGCTGTGAACGGGCATCCCGTGCTGCTCTAGAGAACATACTTTGGACCACCACAGACTAATGGAAGATGAGACTTGCAGTAATGTAAGGAGTTTTGTTTCATGGCTGGTAAAGGGGAGTATCACAGATTGTTATTGGTGCTGAGTTAATCACAGAAAACAAGGGACTGAAGATCCCATTAAATAGGCTCTCGAATCAAGTATGTCTGACTGTTTGAGTCAAACTTTGCTTAAGACTCTTTCAAATGTTTTTCATCATATATCAGTTTCAAAGTATCTGGGCTGTTTTATCTTCATTCATTTAACACAGCAGCTCTGTATTCTATAGTAAATAAAAAATAGTTTTGTTTCTCCTAACGTATTTTGGGAGATTTGTTACCGAGAATCATTAAGTCTCATGAGACTGATTCCTCATCAATATTTATTCAATTAAATGCTTAGTCTGGGGTGCAGCAGCAGGCTACGTTTCTGTAACGGAAGTACAAAGTCTCTTAGAGAACATGATGACAAGCATGTTGATTAAATCACCATTGAATACAGTGTTTTCACAATCACTCGTTTCCTTGTTTAAAATACCTCTCATGAAAGGGTACAGTTGATTGGTAGGACCTCTTCACTGCTTATGCAACGTCTCGAGTAACACAGCAGTGTAAACTCAGCACTCTCACACCAGCACATGTTTATTCTGTCACATTGCATGCCAAGCAAACTTCTGGACACTTGACGTCAGAGAGCCCAGGTGTGTATGGAAGCTCGCCCTATATCCTGCTTATTTCTCATCTACAATGGTAGGCCTACATACAGTATGTAAATGTGTACAATATATACATTTATAGGTGTTGCATATTCTGTATATAGGAACTTTCAATATCCAGACACACAGTTTCCCTGTTAGCTTGCAGAATTGCATTCAAACTGATACAGTGCATGTACCATGAATATCAACAAATTGTACCTCACAATGAAACAAGAAAACATGTATATAATTAATTCACTCATTAAATTATGCCTCTTATGTGTTTCACAGTAATAGAAGACGATAAAAGTTATAGTAAACGCCTAGAACAGAAAAAGTTAAATATAGATGGCTAAAAATGCTGTGCACATGAAACAGTATCTCTGTAGAACCACATATGAAATGTGAAAGCTGTTATATGAACCTTGCTAAACTACATGCTGACATATTCAAATATTATTGTGTCTTATATGTATTATTTGCATAATTTATATTATGTATTCATTTAGTTGCATTTTTACTATTATTATTTTATTAAAAGTTATTTCATTGTTCAATATATTAATGCATTTGGTAGACACTTTCTAAACCTCGATTGAAAATGAATGAGTTGTTTGGGTTGTTGAGAGGTTTCATACTTGACCAGTTATATTTATTGGCACTACAAAGTCTCAGAAAGTTTTATGCATGATTTATTTTTCTTAACATGTCTGGGTGCTGAAATGATCACTGTGTCAACCACTAAAAGTTAACATATGTTCACAGTTCAAGTTTATTTGTATAGCGCTTTTCACGATACAAATCGTTGCAAAGCAACTTTACAGAAAATTACGTTTCTACAATATTTAGTAGCATCTTATGAGTGGTGACTGTCAGTTAATGTACATATGGCAGAAATGTACGGAAAATCAATTAAAGACATAATCAAACAGACGATGAACACTATTAACAGCAATTATTATACGATGCAATCAAACTTATAGCAAAATTTGGTAGTAATTAAAATAATGCGGTGTGGCATAGTAGATAAAACTCTGGGCTAATAACTAGAAGGTTGTGAGGTAAAAGCCCTTTGATTCATGAGAGAACTGCAACATTACCTTTATGTGAGAAAGCAAGAGAGAATAAATGGGAACGGGTGCATTGTATATGTGTTTGTGCATATGTCAGTTTGCCATTAATCTTAATGGACTTTTGATAGATTTGCGTCTCTCTCTTCAGGTTTCGATAGTGTCACTGACTACATAGGAACATTTCATTTCATGTTTTCCATCTTCATCTGCTTTTTTTCTTCCTATTTCAGGCATGTGTTGCGTTCATGCTCTGGAGATGTCTACTGGTAAGATTCCATTTCTGGAAGCAGTGAACGGCAGCACAGTCCTTCTGCCCTGCACCTATGCCAGCTGTATTGGGATCACTAACCTCTACTTCAAATGGGAGTTCAATGATAATGGCACCATGCGTAAGGTAACAGATATTCAGTTTAATAATTATGGGATACTCAAATTTATTCCACTAATGTAGAATACACTAGAATAGAATAGATGTTACCACACAACAACAACCAAAACATTTCATCTTAGGCCTACTAAACAACAAACAGTCTTGTTGGGGGGTTCAAAAGTCTGAGACCACATTGAAAATTTGGGATTTAAAATCTAATTTAAACCTGGAAATAAAGTTTTCGGAGTTTCTCTGTTCTTGTATTTTTCTGTTAAATATGCATCTCTGCTATTTTTGGTTACTAATCAAATAAGTATCTCTGCGGCACTGATCACATGAACTGCTTTACACTGACGGTCGAATGTTCGCGCCATCCAGCGGTCAGACATTTTGAAATCTCGTATTCACACCGCGGCCTCGCACTCGCTGTTATACAAATGCAGCTGGCGCCATCCTGCGTCTCTCAGTTATCTATTGTAGTTACAATGACTTCAGAGGAGTTCAGTGTATTTACTGTTTTGCTGCAATGTTCGCCTTGTCACTACCGATTGTTTTATATGTTGTGGTAGACTTTTTTTCTTAGCAGGAGCTTTTGGATAATATACAAAATGTTCATTCAGTATTTCATGTCAATATATTTGGTAAGTGGCCGTGTAATAATCTCGATAATACACAATAGGCTAAACCCCTTCAGGCGTCCTCCACGTTTATTTTTTCTATAATTAACTGCTCAATGTGGATTATCCTTTACCTATCTAACGTGTTCAGTTATACATGAACACCATGTAGACCTAGCAGGACACTTTTCACACTGTATTCAGCTTTTATTTACTTAAGACAACATCCAAAACATAATTTAACAATAAAATGAGTTACTGTTGCTAAGTCTAACATTGATTGGATAGAAATATAAATAGAAACCCTTACTTTATCTTGAGCTGGTTTTGTATGCCTTCAAGGGCACTTGAAGTGGAAGGGCAGCAGTTCTTACAAATCATTCCATCGACTTGATATTGTTTCTCAGTGTCATATTCTGTGTATTCTTTCAAGTAACAAAGATAGTAACATCACTACAGACTTCAAAGTCAAAGAGAACAGTCTGAGTTAAGGATATTGTAAAATGGAGTGACAATTTAAGATATAGGCATTTGCACTGCAGTATTGATAGTCTCAAAGGCAAAAACACATATCTAGAGCCAGTGTTAGTTGTACTTTACATATGCTCAGTTTAACATTAATAACTGACAGTTCTCTTTCCCAATCAGATGGCTGATTCTGTAATTCCAACGGATAATGTGGAGCCAAATAAAGTAAACATTTGCCGTGAGAGGGTGGAGTATGTTGGCTCCAGTAAAGGAAATAACATCTCCATCCTGCTTTGGAATATAACATTTGAGGATGCAGGCGTCTACACCTGCTTTGGCAAAAACCCCAAAGAGAAGGGCAAGAATCACAGCGCCATTTTCACTCTATATGTAGTAGATGAACGTAAGTGTTGCAGGGTGGGAAGAGAGAGAATGATACATGAACATCACATTTCAAGGTCATTATTCAAATAACTATATGCCTTTTTCTCCTCTCTCATTCCCTTTTTGTTGTATTCTCTGGCTATCCCATTCTCAGTAAGGAAGGTTGATAACACACTCACCATCATCATTGCTTCCTGTGTTGGTGGATTCATCGCTTTGTTAATGGCCTTCATGCTGCTAAAGAACCTCACTCTGTTCGTTCTCGCAAAGATTGAGGAAAAAAAGTGAGTTCATGGCAAATTGTAGGATGTACACATGAGCATATATTAGACTAGAACGATTCAGATTTCCTGTACCCTTTTCCAGATTTGGACCATGTCATTGCTTGACAATAAATATAAATGATAAAATAATTGATGAATTAATATGCAAGTAGTTGTAGTAGTATGTATAATATGTATGGTTTATATATATAATCTCCCTCTCGTTCTGCCCATTTCTTTCTATGTTTTTTTCAGTAAGGAGTGCCTTGTCACCTCCTCAGGGATTGATAACACAGAGAACGGTCTGTCGGGCTCCAAATCTACACCAAAGAAAGCATGACAGCGTGCAACCAAACAGAGTCACACATGCACGTGAAAACATGGATCAGCCATCAAGCTATGCCCTCTCTGTTAATTTACATCCGTGTTTACAAATGCTATACTTTTGTTTTTTATGTATATATATATATATATATATATATATATATATATAGCAATGATAGTATTAAACAAATGTGAAATTTTCATTCATACATTCATAAAGGATGATGTTCATATGACTTATTTTTAGTTGATGCATAAACACGGATATGAATAAAACGAGGGGCATAAGGTATTTCTGCATATAATAAATTTATATATGCGTTTAAATATGCACCACACATGCAGCCTCATGCACTTTAGTTTCTTGGCCCACACCGAATCTGTGGGCTGTACTTATTCTTATGATAGAAAAATGAAATATTTTCTTCAATAATGCTTGAGACAGGGATAAATGTAGCTATGCTATTTATTTAGTTCAATATATATATATATATAGAGCAATGATAGTATTAAACAAATGTGAAATTTTCATTCATAACCTTTCCAAGGATGATGTTCATATGACTTATTTTTAGTTGATGCATAAACACGGATATGAATAAAACGAGGGGCATAAGGTATTTCTGCATATAATAAATTTATATATGCGTTTAAATATGCACCACACATGCAGCCTCATGCACTTTAGTTTCTTGGCCCACACCGAATCTGTGGGCTGTACTTATTCTTATGATAGAAAAATGAAATATTTTCTTCAATAATGCTTGAGACAGGGATAAATGTAGCTATGCTATTTATTTAGTTCATTGAACTGGACTGTAAAACTGTGAAGAGCCCATGCCCTCACATCTACAGTAGGTGCCTGACTAAAATAATTGTGAAAGGAGTACAGGTTTCTTGTGTTAAAAAAATGCAGTCCTTTTTGTCAAATGGCCATTGACTTTGAAAAATATATGTTGTAGAAAGGTCAGTTATGCAACAGAGAAATTTGTTTAGAGGGACACTAGTGATTTGTATTGTTTCACTCACAGAGACAGACTCTCATAGCTGGTTAATCAAACTGCATGTTTTAATGCAGTACCTCTGAATAGAGCCAAAAAAAAATAAAAATCAGCAGAACTCTGATTGTAATAAGCATGAAGGGAGAATTAGGCCTTATTTTAACAGTCTTGAGTCCAGTTCAAAATAAACCTCATTACCGTTTTTGCTTGAAAATAAAACACAGGTGCCTGTTAATGCTTCTGTCGCCACCTTTTGGCGAGGATGACTGAATCAATGCAGAACATTATAATGCAAAAAAAAAAGAAAATGCCGCAAAATCGCAAAAGCCACCAAACAGTAAGTAAATACAAGCTAATGAATGATACTTGACAATCTGTAGAAATCCGCATCCTCTTAGAGAAAACCCTGAATGAAACCGAAAATGCTGCTTCAAATAATTTCCAATGCATTATAGCATGTGTTAAATGCCAGAAGTTTTAGGGGTACATGGCTGACTATAACAGTAGAAACATTGTATGTAATGCTTTTTTATATACTGAAAGAAAATTGTCACATACTGAACATAAATAGCATCAGCTTTGAAACTAAAAATAGCTTGGTGAATTTCCATGCTATTCAAAATATGAATACCAAAAAGGAAAAAAAAAATTATATATATATATATAACCTTTCGATGCAAACATACTTTGACCTGAAAACCATGCAACTCACCCTATGACATAATGAAAATGCAATATTTAAAGGCAATAAACTCAATCATACAGTCATGCAAAACAACTAACTAAATGATAACGGTATATATATCATCTAAATATAGATTTAATAATCAAGACATGACTGGATATAGGTCTCACAGATTTTCAGAAGTTTAGCTAATAAGCATTTCAAACTTTCACGTGAGGGATTCAGGGAATTCAGAGGATATCAGAGAAGGGGCTGACGTCAAGCAAGTCTGCTCATTCAATTAGAAATGAAATAACATTAATAAATAGATAATGTCCCAATAATCTGTTATTAAAACTACAGAGGTGCTGTACAAAACATCAACTCTAAATGACCGATGGCAGATTATCCTGTCATTTAAAAAGATATGTTACCTCTTTTAGTAAAATATTATTTAGTGAGATATCTTGCTTGATGTTGGTCACGAAATACACGTAAATCTTCCTTGAAAAAAGCTGCTTGTTTTCAGTGCCAAAAGGAGTTAACTCCAGATAAACAGTCTAGTCTAGATTTGTAAACTCAGATTGTGGATTTGTTCATTAGAACTATAGAGCACAAAAACAGTCTAGGAGAAATCTGGTAAATTAATATAGTATTTGGACCTGAAAAATCTATAAGCAGTGTATACTATACAGTATAGCCAGTAGCTCTCCTTTCATACCCATGTGTAACATCACTAAGTGTCTATTGTAACAGCATTTATGTTTATACTATTATTTTTTTTTCATTTGGAAACAGTATATTTTCTTTAACATTGCAAGGGTGTAGTTGAAATGATTGCAATTCAGTTTGATGATGTCATTGATGCTCAGGTTTTTTTTTTTATCATCTTGTGAGTGCACACAGATCAGTAAAGCAATACACATTCAGAGGACTCTAGCTTCTTTTAATAAGAGAAATATTGGAACGGTACATTCATACATTTTCAAAGCACTTATACTACCTCTTATTCAGACATTTTCATCATACTGTTGTGCTAAACTTACACTTAATATTTCTGCATTTAACATTAAGATTTTGGAAGAGTCAAGGATTTTTCAGGTTGTTCAAAAAGATTTTGATATTTTTCCTTGTAATTTGGCTTCAGGATCTTTGGTCTTCTAATTAATATTATCTTTGCTGTCTTCGTTTTATTAATGCACTATTAACAACATACCGCACCAGTTTTGGTTGGATTATTATTTGTCAGGCTTGGCGGTAGCCATGGCCTAATTTTTCAACCAAACCACAGACTAATATGACAGTTCAAAGGGGAAGTTTTCACCATTATTTGAATTGAAAGTTTTTCCTAAAAAGCTGTATTTCTCTGTAAATATATCTCATGTTGTGGTATTGGAATTTGAAGTAAATTTCTGTCTGACACCTCACAAACACCTATGGCCAAAAACAATTATCTTGATGGTGGTGTGTGTCTGTTCACACTTATGTGAAGCTTTCTGCAGTGTTGAGGGCAGCTCACCTGTGGAAAACTAGAATGGAGGAAATGCCAGATACAAAAGCAGTAATAGAGAATGTGGGAGAAACCAATTAAAATGTGGATTGCTGGTTTGAATTCATTCAGTTACTCTGTTTATCCTTTAAATCACTCAGACGGATGGTAACGTATCTTAAATTGATACACCCAAACTTGTTGCTTTTGAATAAAATTCGATGTGCAACTTCTGTAAAATGTACAACTTCTATAAATGTTGTTTTTACAGTAATTTGCATGCAAATTGTACAGTGTTAAAGCATCAGAGTACCACTGCAGCTATGTTTAAAAAAATAAAATAAAAAAAGAAGCTGGATCAGATACGTTCAGATGCTTTACGAACACTGAGCTACACCAGACTGTTGAGACAAATGTAAAACCAAGGAGAATAGAGGCCTCAAGGACTCAAGCCCACAGAGTCAGAAGGAACAATGCCTTGGAGGAGTTATGGTTTGGAAAATGACTAACTTGGAATTTACTTCAATCCAGATCTACAGACAGTAGACATTGTTTGACATCAGTCCCTGTAAAACATGCTGTATCATAGATGGTCCACTCAGCCCACAATCCAGAATTCCATTGTTTCCTTAAGCCAGTGTGCAGGCCTGTTATTCCCCATTGGATTGCACAGTCATGCATATTAGATTTCTTTATTATAAGCAGCAACTAAAATAAAATGTTTTGGATAAAATAAAGGTTGTGATGTGTGCTGGACTGGTAAATGAATCAAGTAAGAGCTTTGTTTTAATTTATTTATTTAGCTTTCTAAATGCATTTGGTTAGAAAAAAAATTAAAACACTTGGAGTACTTTAGCTTTACAATGAGCATACAGTATTGACTGGAAAACTGCCATAATGCGACTAGTGAGACTAAAAAAAGCATGATGTTTTGATATAATATTCGTGTTAAATTAATCAAATTAATTATAAAATGTATCAATATCCAGATTCAAGAACGTAGATTTCTGTAGTAACACTGAGGTGATTTGTTGTCTTTCCTCTTGTGTCACAAAAGCATGAAGTGATGTGTCCATGGTTCACCTTCTCATGGACGTCTCTGAAACATGACATTCAGTCTGGAAATATATTTTCCTTTCTTATATATTAATGTGCACAATCAAGTAAAACATACCTTCATTACAGTGTAGATCCAGTTGAGAAGTTGACTAACATCCGTGTAAACGCCAGGTTTTCCATCCCGTGCACAGCCCACTCCCCAACTCACTATACCCATTAACTGCCAACGAGATGACAGGTACACCAGTGGACCCCCACTGTCCCCCTGAAAAAGAGAATACTTTAAAGTGATGATGCGATTTGGAAATTGCTTTTTTTCTGGATACAAAGACAATTATATCTCTCTCTTCTGAAGGGGAGCCTGCATTTGATGTTACCTGACACGCATCTATGTTTCCGTCGAAGAATCCAGCACAAAGCATTCTGGGAGTTATGGCAGAACCATAAACAGAGGGCTTGGAACACTCTGACCTGTCAATCAGTGGCACTGAAGCTTTCTGCAGCACAGAGGGCAGCTCACCTGCGTAAAATGAGAATGAGGAAATGCCAGAGACAAAACAATATAAAGGTTGTGGGAGAAACTGAACAAAAGGAGGATTGCAGATTTAAAGATAGAGGTTCACAATCCTGCCTTATTTGAGTTACCAATTATCTATTAAGTGACAAAGCCCCTTCCTCTTACCTTTCTCCTTTAACAATCCCCATCCAGTCACCACAAGCATCTCCTTCACAGACAGCTGGTGTGGGGGTAAACAAACTGGCAAGATCGATTCTAAGGATAGACAGAAAATAAGACCTATAGCCAATGATATTTATTTGTGCCTTTTGTTCTATGATAAACCTTACAAACCACTGACCTCACTACAACTACTGACACTACTGCTTTAGAGTACTAGGATGCTAGAGTAATGACACATTGAGACTTCTCAAAAGAACCAAGTTAAAAATAACCAAAGCATACTGTAAGTGATCATGGTTTATGTTTTAGAATATGCCATACGTTATGGGCCACCTTTATTTTCTTCGTCTTTTTGGAGCACTATGAACCATGTACCGCCTTTGATTGGGGGATTGACATTAAAATGTCAATCTAGCAGCAAAGGAGGGAAAACTAGGAAAAATAGCTGTAGATGCTGAAGTGGGACTATCAACTTGAAAGGTCCCTCTTACATAATCAAGCAATTTATATAATCATACAATCATCGTAAAACTCTGATGTAAGAGAGTAGCTCATCAGAATGGATAAATGAAATACTGTACCCCCAACAGTGACAGGCCAGGTGAGTTTTAGCATGGCGATATCATAGTCATTACTCAAGCGGCTGTAGTAACTGTGGACAACAATCATCTCTATGCTGCCAACACCCCTGGATGCAGCCACTTGGGTCTGACCCAACACCACGGTCCATCGTCTCAGCTCCCGTGTCTGGCTAAGAGTTTGTTTGTGTGTGTGAGAAAGATGCAGCAAGTCACAAAACAACATCCAAGTGAACCAACTGAACCATAGTCATTCATTTAAACAAGTAAAAATGTTTCTTATTGTAAAGAGAGGAATTTTATTCAAAAGCAACTGGTTTAGGTTTACCCATTTGAGACATTTCATTAGTCAACTGAATTATTTAAGGGGAAAGACTGAATTAGACTAAAAGACAAAAATTCTGTTCTAGAACACATCTTACATTTCTGAATGACTTACCCTGTAAAACAGTGAGCAGCTGATATGATCCAGCGCCTGGACAGTAATGCTCCTCCACAAACATGCTGGTGGTTCCACTGAAGACTAACCTGCCACGGCCAGTGTTCGATTTCTGTGTCCACCCCACCAACAATACGGTCCTCTCCCACCACCTCTCCACAGTCTGTATTAACACAGGGGAGACGTTTAGAATCAGACACATGAACAAAGATATTAGTATGCTTCCAAATTCCTTATTCCTGAAAAAAAAAAACTAGAATTTACATTCAAATTTAAATAAGTAGAATTAAAAATGTATTGAAATTTTTTTTTTTTTTAACAAATAGGAAAGTCTGTCATCAACTTTGAACGATGTATGTCTTGTTTCAAAGTTAAAAAAAGCCCATTCATTTTCTATAAGCTTTATACAGTGGGTACGGAAAGTATTCAGACCCCCTTAAATTTTTCACTCTTTGTTATATTGCAGCCATTTGCTAAAATCATTTAAGTTAATTTTTTTTCCTCAAAAAAAAAGCCCATTCATTTTCTATAAGCTTTATATACAGATAGATTTATGGACCATGGTAGAACATGCATAATTTGCTAGAAAGTTTAATGTCTTTCAATTGCAACTCATTAAATTTCACTTCCTGTTATTCCTGTTTAACTCTGTGCACTGTGGCCAATTAAATTCAGATTCCAGCTCATGAATTGAACATACACATCTCAATGGTCTTACCGGAGCAGGACACAGACACCACTGAGCCAGAGAGACATTTGTCACTGTGAGAGAGCACATCATTGTTTCTATATGTAAATGATATGATAATTTGATGTGGAGAATATCACAAATGACCTCATAGCAAGTGTATCTTACCCAACTGAGAGTAAACTCTGGATGTCAGAGTGTGTGGAGTCATTGCTGACTGTAGCAAATGCATTGTGAGAGTTGAAAAGTAGACTCTTCACCGGGACTCGTGTACTTCGTGGACTCCTGTAGTGGAATATTTTCTCAAACACTATAAAGACTGCTGCAATCAATGGGAAGGTGCTCAGATTTCTTAGTTACATAAATATTGCAATATAACAGCACTTATATGTGGTTTTCCAGCTTAGTTTACTAATGGTCATTGGTTATGAACCATTGTACTGTGTGTGCTCTGCTTACGCTGTATAGCCCAGTTGTTCACAGGTTAACCTCGTGTGCTTCGTCCTCCAGTTATCAGCACACACTGTTCTCCATCCATCCTTATTAACAAACACCTGCAGGACCAGTCTCTCCCCCATCAGCCTCACTTCATAAGGAAATATAGATGAATCACATGTTCACCTACAAATTCATCTTTAGTATACTTTAACCAAGGCCAGGGAACAGTAAAAATCTCTCAAAAGTGGTGTAAAAATAAAGGTTATTTATTGGCATCTCTGGTTCCACAAAGAACTTTGAACATCAGTGACACTTTTCCATTTTACAAAAGGTTCTTTACAGTGGAGAAAGGTTAAATACGTACTTGCATAAAGATTCTTATGAATTTTTTAAAACATGTTTATCACAAGATATTTATAAGAAAATAAAAATAGTTCTGTTAAGAACTACTAACTAAAAGGTTATTTTGGGAACCCAAAATTATGTTCTATGGCATTGCAATGGAAAAAAAAAAAGAAAAACAAAAAACTTTATTTTAAGAGTTATTTTAAGTGTGCATAATCACCTGGATGTGTGTCATTGGTCTGCAGTTTGGATACACATGAGATTTCGTCCTCACGGCCTGCACAGTCAGCCTTTCTATCACATACCTTTTCTATTGAAATGAACTTCAGTGAGCCAGAGCAGAAGAAAAACTTGGTATTCACCATCTTAATGGCTGGAAAGTAAACAAACAGAGAGAATTTTCATGAAGAATGTTTTATATTTAGTGGTCAAAGTGATAAAACAATTGTCAAAGTGATAAGCATTACAATGAAGAAAATGAATGATGGCAGAAAAGGAGAATAATATGGCAAAAGATTCTTACTAAAGTACAACCCCACTATTAAGGTTGCTAGTATGACTAGCACACAGCACACAGTGATAACGGCCAATCTCCAGCGTGCTCTGCTCTCCTCAGTCCTCAGTGTGCTTAATTCTCGCCTTCGTTTCAGCTTTAGGGCCATGAGAAACTAGAAATCTAGCCAAATCAGTGGATTTTGCTGGTCCTGTAATTCAATATAGACACGTTGCCCGTTCTTTAACTGTGTGAGACTTCACTAATACTAACAATTTTCTATGGCTAAGTATATTACGAATAGATTTATATGGTATCAGTTTCCTACAGTTCTAATTAGTGAATCATGACTAGCAGCTCACTAGACACTAGCAGTGTTTAGGGACTCCTTAGTTATCACCTTACTTCAGCTGATCTGCATTAACTAATCAGTTGGAGGTAGATTTTGATGAAACTTTGGCTGAATTCAGAACAGCATAGGCCTACTAGTTCTGCCACATGTGGGCACTATGCTAGTATGCATACTATCATTTACAGCAGAAATAGGAGTAGCATGCTAATGGCATTCTCAATTCAGCCTTTTATTTCAAATTAGGTTTAAATGTAATTCTGAAATTTCTAAAATACTTTTTATAATATTAAGTTCAGATAGCGTAATTAACATGGTTAATTTGTCTGCATGATTTAAATACCTTAAATAAGTACAGCAGTAGAGTATTATATTTTTTAATTATTTTTTTGAATGACAAGTGTTGGTTTTTAGTCCACATTTGTCTAAAAATCATCTAAAATACACACCTTGCAGAATAAAAGTGATGACACAAAATACCAAGGTTTTTATACATCAGACACACAACTATAATTGATGCACATTTGCCAGTTTTGTATTAGAAATTTATAAATGGGATTGTGTTTTGTCTGTGACTATGTCTGTTAATGTGATTTTTAATATATTAAATATGTGTCTTATATAAATATATGTGTCTTAATATATTCAACACTCAGATTATCTTGCCTTTATTCTTAAATGTTGTGGTTTATTGGGTGAAATATGATCTATGTGTAAACATACTTGTGTGATGGAGAATAACAGACTGATGGCATCAATTAAACACCAATTTCTACTGTGCCTTCATTTATGATGAAAGCAGTTCATGGACAGTTCTGTTCTCTATTTAATTATCTGCATTACAGTGTTTTTATGGACATGTTGTTAAGAAACTCTGTTTAAAAACCAGTAAAAACCTTGTAAAACCAGTTAAACAGGTGTTAGAGAGAGAGAGAGAGAGAGAGTGAGAAAAAGAAATGAGTTACTACAGTGTGAGTCTGTCCTGCTCTGATGATATAATATTTGTTCTACGTCACTAGCAGGTGCATGACAGAAAATAAATACATAGCTAAAGTACAAGTAGAGTTTTTCTGATCTCCTTATACGGATACTCGCCTATGGAGCACAGACAGGTATGAATACTTTACCGAACAAAATGTTCTCAAACATGGATATATTGGTATATAACAAACATATACATATTTATTTATTGTATTTCAAGTATGTCACTTTTTGTGGGTGGTTTTAAAACAACAGTTGTTTTGTGATTTTGTTAATATATTATTGTGAATGTATTAAGTATCACTTTATGATTCCTGTAATTCTTTTTCTCTTAGTGATCAGCTTGTGTGTAATATTACAGTTGTCTTGGTATTGTGTCCTAATAGTTACCTGTAATAATTATTAACACATATACATTCTAACTTAGAATGTATTAATAGAATTAGTAACCTTATTTGGTTATAAAAAGGAACAGAATTATAAAAAATTAGGCAGATTACATGCGACTAAGTGAATGATTCAGTGTGTAATATGTAAAACGTGTGCCAACTGGATGCTGTTAAAGAGAGAATAAGATCTGTAACATACCATAAGAAGGAAGGGCAGGTTCTAAACCTCACAGATCAAGCCTGGTGAAAAATAGAGAAAAACTGTTTAAAATCAAAATTTACAGCATCATTTATTAGAAGTTGGTCATTGAGAATTATTACAAAATTATAAACAATTTTGTGAAATCTAAATATGGAGAACAGATAAATGTGACTATAAATGCCCGTCACTGTAACTTACAGCCGACCTGACTGACTGATCTTTTTCACTTTAGTATGTTCTGTTGTTTCATAAAAGTCTGTATCACAAAAGACCTGGTTTACAAAAGTATTTTCTGTTGGGTTCAGTACAACATGGAATTTTTTTTAAAAAAGCACTTATGTCTGTGTTTCTGTTACCCTCTTGTAATACTGTACTGCTTATGCAGGAGTGAATATTGTAACCTGTTAATATGGAAACTCAAATAAATATAGGCCTATGCTGCTTTCGTGTGTACCTATATTTGAAAACCAGTTTGTGAATACTAGGTAATGTTAAAAAATGACTCAGAGTAGTATACCAGAAATCACTTTATTTTGTTGTATAGTGCTGGCTCTGATGCTCCGGTACCGTCTTCCTGATGGTAGGAGCTGGAAGAGACTGTGGGAGGGATGGGTGGGGTCCTTCACGATACTGTTGGCTTTGCTGGAGCAAAGCAGCCCATCCGCCTTTCAAAGTTTGAACAGTCAGTTTACAAATACCATCCAGGAGAGCGTTAATATGAGGTAAAAACCAGAAATGTGTATAATTTGCTGCTGAAAAACACTAATTTAACCTACAGAAGACAAAAACACTCCAACAAAAGCACATGAAGCTATAGCAATCAGTGGATGTGTAGCTAATTATATGTTAATGCTAAAGTCTATGCCTTGCAAAACGCTAATTTGCTTAGGTCTTAAGCATGAAGGTCCATCCCTAAACCTAATCTTCAGTGGGGCATAAACAGGATGTACAAAAAAAGTAAAACATTCGAGATTGTACAAATTCATCGGAATCAGCCAGCAAATCAGCAAAACATAAAATTGTTACGAATTGCCACCCAATTGCGCTGGAATATACCTACAGTAGAACACATCTTGTCAGTGTAAACAGTAAACTATTACATTTAATTTAAAAGTGCAATCAAACAATGCGTTTTAAAATCATTTAAATGTTTAAAAACATAAATTAATTAATTAAAATTACTGTAGCATGGCAATGGATAATAAAATTATGAAAACGTATAATGATTCAGTATATTTAGACGCAGAAAGGTGTGAAGAAACACCAAAACTGAAAATGCTCTTGGTCTCTATCATGTGTGTAACAATGTTGATTTAACTGTAGTGTGTCCTGTCCTGGTCAGAAGACTGTGTCCCTGCATTGCAGCAGTGAGTACCCTACACTATTGCTATACATGTTATTGCTGCATGATAATGCTAAGTCTAAACACTCTCTTACTTCCACACTCTCTCCTATTCTTTCTCTGTTTAGAGTGTGGAAAGCCACCAGGATCGAGGATCATAGGAGGGAGTGTGGCTGCTGACGGTCAGTGGCCGTGGCAGGCCAGTCTGCATTTCCAAGGCTATCACACATGTGGAGGAACTCTGGTGGCTCCAGACTTCAAGCTCACTGCTTCCCCAAGTCAGTATACATTACATTAGACAGACTGACAGAAGATTTGATGACTAGTCGACATGTTGGAAACAATATTTTGGCCTGTAATTCTAATTAAGATTAATGAGTACATTAGCAAACAATATCCAAAAAGCATGGATGGATGAACAGATGAATGAATTTGCTCCCCCCCCCCCCCTTCTTAGAGGAACATCCCTCAGTTGCCTAGTAACTGGAAAGGGTAAATTGGTTTGGTGTCCCAGCTCCGGCCTCCCAGCCCATATTATGTCAAGCAAATCATTTGACATGAAAATTATGTCTCAGCGACAAAAAACAGAGATATTGCCTTGCTAAAACTCAGTAAACCTGCCAGTAAGTTTGTACACTTACACAGAATTATGAATACATAACTACTCAAGTACATACAACATATAATACATAACCTTTATGCAAATCATAGTTTAACTGACATAAGTATAGCTACCATACACAGCACTGTCTAAATTACCATAAATATAAAAATCAAAGAGGTACTTCTGACCACTGACATGTTTTGTACATATTGTTAAAGGTATTATACAGCCTGTCTGCCTGCCTGTGTTTGGCCAGATGTTTCCTGCTGTCAAACAGTGCTGGACCACAGGTTTTGGAGTTACCAGGGAAGGGGCAGGTATGTATGTGTATGTATTTTGTTTTTTGAGTTTGAATGTTTTGATTTATGTATTAATAATACTAACCTTTCTCCACGTGTGTGTGTGTGTGTGTGTGTGCACAGATAGTAGTTCCACTTATTTGATGGAGGTCGCAGTAGACCTGATAGACTCAGCTGTGTGTAACTCACCTACTGTTTACGGCGGACGTATCACTGAGCATATGCTGTGTGCAGGAGATCTTAAGAGAGGGAGAGACTCCTGCCAGGTTGGACACACTCGCATGTTCAAAAGCGTACAAATGCTGCCACCTTTCGGTACAACATTATATATTGCAGTTTGAACTTTGTACTCTTTAATATGCTTTTCTAAGGTCATTCAGCATTATTTCTTCTTTTTCAATCTCACTCTCTCTCTCTAGGGCGACAGTGGGGGTCCACTGGTGTGTAAAGCTGATGACAAATGGTATCTCACAGGCGTAACAAGTTGGGGAGATGGCTGTGGAAAACAGAACCGTCCAGGGGTCTACAGTAACGTAGGGCAACTTTTAATGTGGATATATGGCAAGATGCAGGTAAACACACTTTTGCATTTTTACATGCAAACACACATAAAATAAGCATTGTGAGTTCATCATGAGTTAACATACATTATTTATATTGTTTACATTTGTATTTATATTTCCTTAACAAGCAGTCTCTTACCATTCTCTTTGTCTCTTTTCTCTCTCTGTTTCCTTAATTACAGCAACAGCGACCGTGACCTTCTACAACAATGAAGAACAAATCCTCATGTTCTACTCTGCTGTGCAAACATTTTTATGTATCAAGATATATTTTCTCATATTTTAAAGTGACAGTACACAGTAACATGCACTTTTGCAGTAAATATATATTTCTGTAAATTTTTGTAATTAATTATTTAAATCATGAAGATCCAAAAAGGACATGGATTATTACATTACTGTATCTATCTGGGACAAAATACCACAACATTTAAGCTGAACAATTCTCTCTGAAAGCACTGTATATTGTGTATTATATGTACTGAGCAGGTCTACTATTGAGGAGGAACTATTGTTTCCTAGCAATACATGCTACATGTAAAGATTTTCAATAATATTTTAAATTGAATACAGTGGAACAGTTTATTGAACTGAAGTCTCTTTCACTCTGAGAGTAAAGCAGCAGGCTGGGATGGTTTTATTTTAGATTTTTACTGAAAAATAAAACTGTAACACTGTTCTTGAAGACAATTTATTTTCCTTCTAAAAGGTGAAAGTTGGCAGGATCTTTCAACTTAGTCATAATCATTAACTTTAGAAAGAATACCCCACTTGGTCTATTTTTACATGCTGATAGATTTATTTTCCAACTTATTAAAATGAGAGAGAGAGAAAACTCACACCTGATCTGTATGTGGACACTTATTTGAAAACAAGAGTAAACAACTCAAGCAATCTGTTAGATTTATGAATACTCCCACATGAAACTAAAGTGATTAGTTATGTATTTGTCCTACACTTCTTTATGTGTTCTTTAAAAAATGACAGATTAATTTTTAACCACCCACTGAAATAGAACTAACAGATAAACTAACAGTTCTGAATTCTTCTGAAATCTCAATGTAATTTATTCACATAACTTAAAATGTATTAACATGAAAAGTTTACATCACAAAATGTGTGTATATAATTTTTGTATTTTATATCATGAGCTATTTATCTATCTTATATCGGGCCTTCAAAGATTACATTTGTCTCTCGTGGTCTGCTTGTTTCTCAGGTAGCTATACTGACCTTGTCAGCTTATTGCAAGGGTACATTCACCACTGCTCAATGGTTATATTTAAAAAATGGCCCAAAGGCTTGTGTTTATGCACAAGTTTTGAGGTTTATGGGATAAGACATGTCAGAGCGAAGGGTTTGAAGGTCGTTATTTGCAAAGCACACACTCTTTTTTCCTTCCCCATAGGTCTCACTGATTTGTCATTTACAATTCCACCATCAGAGAGTTTAAGGTGTTCCCTGCAAACACTCAAACTCCTCTCTGACTTACACGCTTACACACATATATCACAGTAGTGGACTTTTCAACTCTTGAAAGGAGCTTTGAGATCCTACACCACTGCTAACAATGGGAGTGGGTAAGTTTGATTCAACTTGATAATCAGTATATATGAAAACTAAAACAACTGACTGTGTAGGCATTAAAATGGACTTTAAAAAAATGGATTATATATCACACAACTTAAATAGAGAGTTCACCCCAAAAAATTTGTAAATCTGTCATCATACACTCACCCTCATGTTGTTACAAACCTGTATGACTGACAATTTTTTTTCTCTGCAGAACATAAAAGATATTTTAAAGAATGTTGGAAACAAACAGTTTTGGTTGATTTTTGGTTGAACTATCTATTTAACAAATTGAGACAGGTATTAGAGAAAGCAAGAATAATATTTACACTAGGTTTAAAGTTACCATTATACCCTTTGTGTGTTCTCTTTTAAGAAAAACCTGAGTATTCAGATGCTGATTTCACCTATGGTAAGAACGTCTGATGGTTACTTATACTCCTTCAAATTGAAGTGATGGGACTGTGAAATGATCATTAACACATTTTAAAGTGGATAATGTGAGTGTGAATGTTGTACATTTGTTTGCATCTTATTTTATATATCTCAAACTAAGTAACAGTCCTGCTCTTAACAGCCAGTAAACAAAAGCTAAAATTGTGCTTTACAACTATTAATGCAAAGTTTAAAAAAAAAAAAACTTTTGTGGATATCTTGCTTGTAACTATCTGTGTGTGCGCTTATACCAGATTATGAGTTAATCAGAAGAGGTGGGCTGATCTTTGCAGCTGTTTTGTTCTGCTTGGGCATGGCTATCATATTCAGTGAGTATGTCTAGATTCATGCAATTTACAGCATGTCCTCTCTGCATAGATTACAATAAAAATACCAGTAAACACAGAAATGCACACACACACACCATTTATTTCCTTGCATAATCAAATGTTATCTTCTTTTCTGGCAGGCAAAAAGCTCAACTGTGGAAACAAGGTGTCTGCTAAGTAAGGCACATACAATATTCATACAATAAAAGATAACACACACATACACACATACATTCTCCCTCTCTTACCTCTTGGTGTGTCTTCTCTGTAGGCCTGAAGACAATGGTTATCTTTGACCTCTCCTTCATTAACCTTCACTGTGAGCATGCACATGCATTTACATACAGTGTTACAATTTTAGCAAGCATATTTCTAGTAAGCATCATGTTTTATAAAACAAATATCATAACTTTCTGTCAAGAAAGCATTTTTAAATGACTTTTAAAAGGTTGTCATCTTTCTTACTTTCTTATCTCAGAAACTCTGAATGAATTACAGATTCACAACACATAAAAGTATAGGCTATTTAAAAAATGTTGATGCACAAGATTCCCATTTATTCAATAACCAAATTCCAATTCTCTTGCTCCGTTTTCTGCAGGTTTCATGGTCACTTGTGAAGTTCACACAGAGAAGTTTTTTTTTTGTTTTCCAGATAAATATTGTTAATTTTCATTCAAAATATCTATGTATACTCTCACAATGAAATAAAATCAAAATGGTCTTTTATGTGAAATCGCGTTATAATTTTACACGTGAAAAGAACATTAGCCTATATGAAAATATAATAAACCCAGACGCAATATATTTTAAGATACTGCTACACATAGTTATTTTTAGATCTGTATATATGATCACAATCATCTGCAACAACATCAATCACTGTCTTTGAAAGGATGCTGCTTCGCCTTTAGCTCGGGCCTGCGTCCGCGTGCGTGCGCTCGAGCTCGGCTCTTGTAATTGGCTCAGCGCTGTGCTGTTGTCCATGCGCCACTGGGCGAGTCTCGGCTGTCTCAGTAACCCTCTTTTATCCTCAAAAAAGGAGAGCGAAAGAGGGCAGACTCAGAGTTGGGTTCGGGCGGAGGGACCGCCATTATTGGGAGGCTTGGACAACCACATTCACCCTCACGCACAATGTATATATCTTAACATTTAAAGACATGCGTTGCCCAGATTGCTCGTGATTTGGCTAAGAAAAACTGGATGTTGTGTCTCACGGTAAAGGCATCGCTGCATGCCGTCTGCACACGGTGAAATCAGCATTTTATGGCCACAACAAAGGGCATTATAATTGATCAAAACCAACGTGCTTAGGCCGCAGGAAGAAATCAAAACAAGCCCTTTTCTGCACGGAAACGACTGGCCTCCGAGAAAGGACATTTCTTTGTTTGGATATGTTTAGCCGTCGGTGGATTTTCCCAGCCGTTTCTATGCGAACGCGAGATCAGTAGCCTAAGTTGCGCCTGACAAAATTATCCCTTGGAAACCGCAAGTCTGTCAAGCCACAATCAAACAGTCCTCACGGAATTTAATGTCCTCGGCTGTTTACGTAGTCTTTTGTTTTCCTTTCTTTCTGGTCTCCAACAACACTGACCAAGCCGGTTGTAAGCCCTCTGGAAGGGAGGACGGAGAAAGGCACTGGTAGGTATGTGTGTATTATCAACGGTGTTTCATTAAAACAAGTATTAGCGAGCAAAGTAGACCGTGTCACCTACGTGACAGTTTTCAGGCGTTTAAGAATCCTATAAATAAAATATCTTTAAATACGAAGTGGAGTACAGAAGGGAAATTGTGTACAAATACAAGTGAGTGCTGTCTATTGTGCAGGCAGCGCCTTGGTTGCATTGAAAACGGATTTATCTTGCTCTTTTATAATCTCAGAATGTTATAAATTGGCAGACTATTTTCACACGTGATGTGCACCTTGTTAGTTGCTATGTAACGCAGTAGAATACACCAACGAAATGTAACGTAGATGAGTCGCGCTAATTTATTATAACTACGTACTCTGATTTAAATACGTGAGGAAATATCACGGACAGTTGAGTGTGTAATCTCTGTTGCAGCACTACACAGACAGCTGAGACGCTCATATGAAGGCAGTTCTGAACCATCCGCGTTACGTAGCTTTCTTAGCTATGCTGGGCCTAGGCTTTTGGAGTGAAATCTTTTAGCAGTTGCTTTCTTTAGGGTTCAGAACTTCAGATGTGTATTTTGCTTGAGGAGTGTGCAGTGGGATGTCTTCATTTTGCCATACACATACAACCACAGTATTTGATGTATGTTCAAGCCATATATTTCTCAGTGTTTAACAACACAGTGGGCTACTACAGCAAGTCAGATCATCAGGTTGTGTCTTGGTGTGTCAGTTGAAGGTGAGTCTAAACCATAGACTGTATAAAAAGGTCTAAACAGCTGGTAGACTCTGATATTATGTAGTACCAATCAAACTGCATTGTCACTAGCACCCACTTGCACTGCACCTGACCTGCCTGGGGATCACATAGTTTGAGGTCTGTAGTCACGCAGGGTCTCTATTTGAGTTTTTAAGTCTACAACACCAGATATAGCATCAGGATTCACCAACAAAACATTTCCTGTGTGTGGTACTGTACCACTAAAACATTTTTCAAGTTAGGAGTAATATGCATGCTGTTGAGTGCATTGTCCAGGAATAGCTCTAGAAAAACACCATTTTGAATAGCCACTAATAATACATATATATTTTTTATTGTATTTGTTACAGCACTAATTAAGATAAATTATGAATAAAGATTTTTTTTGTACTGTATTCTGCATTCTTTTATTTTTAACAATGCACTAACCTAAATATGTGCATTTGTGTTTTGATGCAAAGTGGGAACAAGAACTGTTGTCAAAGTAATCTTGTTTCATATTATTTTCAGTTTTTTTTTTAGCAAGTTCAATAAATGATCACCGAATACATTCTTTGAAAATGTTAAAATGCCACCCATGTAGTTGTCTAATGTATAATATTGTCTAATATACATATTAATACAGGTTTCTAACAACTGCATACAGTATGTGACAATGCCCTTAGATAACAGTCATGCAAAGTGGGAACAAGAACTGTTGTCAAAGTAATCTTGTTTCATATTATTTTCAGTTTTTTTTAGCAAGTTCAATAAATGATCACCGAATACATTCTTTGAAAATGTTAAAATGCCACCCATGTAGTTGTCTAATGTATAATATTGTCTAATATACATATTAATACAGGTTTCTAACAACTGCATACAGTATGTGACAATGCCCTTAGATAACAGTTCACCAAAAAATGAAAATTCTGTGAGAACTTTTGGTTTTGTGGAAGATCTTTCTTGTGAATTTAAATTCAATCTTGTGAATTTAAGAGTATTCTGCCCACTCTTTTCAGAATAATGAAAGTGAATGAGGACTAGGGCCATCAAGATACAGAATGGCAAAAAAATCATCATGAAAGTAGCCCAACATCTTAAATTTCAGTCTGTTTTTCAAATGTATCATTTGGCTTTAGAAGACATGGAATATTGCCCATCACATTGGCCACTTATGATGCTTTTATGGTGTTTTTTTGTAATTTCTGAAGCTTGAAAGCTCCGGTCCACATTCATTGTAATTGCACGGAAACGGCAATCAACTACATTATTTAAAAATTCCCCCTTTGCATTTCATGGATAAAAGATAAGTGATGGAGTTGTGGGTGTGCTGTTGTATTGGAAATAATACAGAGATGGTTAAAGAAATAAATCATTAAATGCTGGTAATATTCTATTCACCAGTGCTTATTTGAACCTAACTGCTAAGTTCTACAGTTCAGTGGAGAGGAAGTAATTACCTTTACTGTTATTTCAGATTTTCTGTATTTTTTATATTGTGCCTTAATATTTTGTATGTAATATTGTGTAATCACACATACAACCTGATCCATATCTACAACCACAATATCATGGAAACCTGAATGAATGAATGAACAACCACATAGTTACGAACCACACAGAATGACTAGAAATCACCTAGTAACACCCTGACAACGATTAGGAATTGAGAGTTGAACTGGCAAGCACCAGTGACATTTTATTCAGATAATGAAATTTTGTAAAAGTTGTCATTAATATGGGGTTTGCTGTAAGTATTTGGGAGCCTTGGTATTTTTATTTTTTTTATAGTATATGTTAACATTTACTTGAACTTTGTGATGTGAAGTGACTAATTCAGACAACAGAAGACTTCATTCCGGCAAATGAACTAATCAGGAATTTCCTAAGTCTTTAAAATGTAGCACTAAGGATAATAGTGGATTAATTACATGCTGGAATTATTGCTTATGTCTGCTGTGTGAGAAAGCACCATTAGCCAACCCACATACTGTATTCAAAAAACTTTTGAGTGGTGTTTTGGAAATCGGGCAACTCTCAAAAGCTTAACACAAATAACCACAAACTATCGAGCAGTATATGTTTAAATTCAAAGTACATAGTGAAACCAAGTGTAAATAGATTGTAAATTATGATTGTGAAGTTAACTATTCTAACTAGTTTCTTAGTATTTACATAGTTGTGTAGGTTTGCTAGCATATGAATTGATCCATATTAATCTGATAATGCTAGAAATCCATAATAAGAACTTCATGAAAATTTGCTTTCTATTTTGATTAGAATTTTTTTTTAGAAATGTTTGTGTAGAACAATATTTAAGCATTATTGAAGAAACATATTGAAATGTATTAATGTATAATGTTAGGTACATTAAGGGGTTTAGTGTTTAATGTAGGGTTATACTGTGTGAATCGAGTAACATCTTAATATCTGTGGGAATTCATAAAGTAGTTTTCTTAAAAATCTTTGAAATTTGCCTTTTGGGCAAACAAAGCACATCATTTTGTTGACAATTGGTTTGTTCTTTCTCCCTTTCTTTCTCATTTAGGCTAGCCCCAATTCCTGCTTCTGCTTTCTTCACATCTTCATGTCTCCTCTATTAACTCTTATTAGTACCCTCTAATATGGGCAAAACATACAAGCAGTTTTCTTGACCTGAAAGGATGATTGAAACATCAGAACTAAAATCTCAATTGTAAATCAAATACAGGCCCCTGACATCAATATTTTATGGACACGTTTTAAAGAGTCTGCCTCTGTCAGCCTTTGGGGCATGGCAAGATGAATGCCTGTGTGCGATGATGATGGCTAAAAAGCAAGAATCCCGAATGCCTATCTACAACCTCGTTGTTGTTGGCCTGTCGGGGACTGAGAAGGAGAAAGGGCAATGTGGCGTTGGTAAATCATGCCTTTGTAACCGCTTTGTCCGTCCTAGTGCGGACGACTTCCATCTTGATCACACTTCTGTGCTAAGTACCAGTGACTTTGGTGGCCGGGTTGTCAACAATGACCATTTCCTGTTCTGGGGAGAGGTGGGGAGAGTTTTGGAAGATGGTGCAGACTGCAGGATGCATGTGGTTGAGCAGACCGAATTCATTGATGACCAGACGTTCCAGCCCCATCGCAGCACAGCCTTACAACCCTACATCAAAAGAGCTGCCTCCACCAAACTGGCTTCTGCTGAAAAACTCATGTACTTCTGCACTGATCAGTTGGGACTCGAGCAAGACTTCGAACAGAA